CCAATCAAAGTTGTCAAATCATCCAAAACGCACCTTTTTTATATAATCAAATTATTAAAAACAAACTTATAATATATATTTAAAAAAGATAGAAATCCCCTTTGGGGGAAACACAATTGATTTGTAGGCTGCCTGACTTTGAGCTTTTAGTTTGGCTCATGTCCCACAACACTAACATGGAAGGGGTAGGATTTTTGACCTGTACTAAAATCCGCCACCAGGGGGCGATCAATTTGCAGTGGTTTCACTTTTGGGAGCTCTCACATCATCCATCTTTATTTACAGTAAAGGGATTCTCCTCTCTGTAACGGTCACAGGAGTGTTTGACAGTAGGAAGCTCAGAAACTCAACCACAAAGAAGAGAAGAAAAAAGAAGGGCGTTTGTTTGGACAAAAGTTTGTCAAAGTCCTTTTTAAAGATATTTCAGCCAGCCCTTGCAAATTCAAAGGACTGTTTGAGTGTTAAGACCTGTGATGGGTACACTGAAGCCATTCAGGGACATGGAGGGAGAGCAACAGAGGTGGATTCTTGCTGTAATGGTATTAGCCTCTGTCAGGCTAAATGGGCTTTAATTGGTGGCATGTTTGGACCAACACAAGCTGGGTTTTCTACACACACGCACACTCAGTCACCCCACTGTCATCTTTCATCCCAATTATTCAACAAGCTTCTTATCTGGGCCTTTCTTACCCTCACTCTCATCTAGATTTTGTTTCCCTTCCTCTTTTTACTTTCCCCTCTCTTTCCCCCTTGTTCCTTTGTCCTTGCATGAACCTTTGAGACTGAGGCAGATTAATCAAATTTCAAGTGACCGCGTGTGTGTGTGTGTGTTGTAGAATTAAAGACATTGGCTAAATGACTGTGCATCTGTGTGTTTGTGCATGAGAAAGTGAGACAGACAAAGGGAGAGTAAATGTGTATGTGCATGTTTGAATGCTTGAGGCTGGATTTCCAGATTCCAGGGCTGCTTTATGAAGCTGTAACTTTGGAAAGTCTTTTACATTCCTCCAGCAACTTCCTTCAATATCCCAAAGACACTGCTTTCATGTCACAAACTCTGAGTTTGACCGGCATTAAAGAGCCGTTCTGCTGGTGTTTATAGTCATTAATTACAAACGGTATATTTGTAACCCTCCTGCCAACCATGCCCATCCATAGTGCACCTTCCAGATGTCCACTGTGTTCCATACATTTCATTATGTTATGTTCCAGGTCATCATTGGGATCCAGGAATTAAGTATTCTTCCCCATTGTGAGAGAGGGCCAAAAACTACAGCAAGACAACAAATAATGCTACAGACATGCAGCTAAGATCAAATTCTAGTTGAAACTCTGCTAACTCAGTAGGGAGTCATTAGACTTGACGTAACTTCAAAGGTTGCTGAGCTAGATCCTGAAGAAAATCACCATCCATCCATTATGATCCGCCTATCCAGGGTCGGATCACAGTGGCAGCAGGTTCAGCAAGGTAGTCCAGACGTCCCTCTCCATGGCGACATATTCCAGCTCCTCTGGTGGGATTCCAAGCCTTTCCCAGATCAGATGAGATACATATAATCTCCAGAAGAAGAAAATCACCATTAGTTAAATGTTATATTTTATGAATAACTTTCAAACTACTAATGATATCAATACGATTCCAAATGCTACGGCTAGGTTTTCATGGCCAAGGAATCATATAATGGGGTCAAACTGTGTGGGAATAATGATTTTAGGTGTAACGGCATTGTGGGGACAGTGAGCTGCCTTGGTGGAGGTTTGCACTCTCTGACTGCTGTATACAGTAATTTTCATTTTTTTAACCAAAGTGAGGTTGATATTGATGTTTTGCAACATCACACTAATTACACCTTTGCATCTCTAAGAGAACAGTCATTTGCCTGACTACCTACATATCAGGTAAATGTCAAGACATAGTAAAATGTTTGGCATATTTGTACATTACGAAGTGACAACATTGAGAATGAACCACTTAA